AGAAAACACTGTACATCAGATAATGGGGTCCCATTATCTGATGTACAGTGTTTTCTCTGATGTACAGTGTTTTGGTAATGGGAGAAAACACTGTACATCAGGTCATGGGAGAAAACACTGTATATAAGGTAATGGGAGAAAACACTGTATATAAAGTAATGGGAGAAAACACTGTACATCATGTAATGGGAGAAAACACTGTATATAAAGTAATGGGAGAAAACACTGTACATCATGTAATGGGAGAAAACACTGTACATCAGGTAATGGGAGAAAACACTGTATACCAGATAATGGGACAAAACACTGTATACCAGATAATGGGAGAAAACACTGTATATAAAGTGATGGGAGAAAACACTGTACATCAGATAATGGGAGAAAACACTGTACATCAGGTCATGGGAAAAAACACTGTACATCAGGTCATGGGGAGGCATCGAATGACCTGATGGCTATGGCTCTCGACCAGCAATCTGAGAGTCGCGGGTTCGAATTTCTGTCACCGAACATGCTCGCCCTTTCAAACGTGACGTTGGTAAAAGAGTAGCTCATGAGTTGGCGGTGGGTGGTGTTGACTAGGTGCCTTCCCTCTGATCCATCCCTCCAGTTTAGTATGGCGCTATCTTGGCAGGTTGAAATGTCCTTGTTTTATTGTCGTATAGGTTTCGTGATACAAAGATCAACAAAGTTTTGGATAGCTGTATTTCATTCGTAGGTTTTAAAATATTTAAATAGTATTCAATTGATATTAACATTAAAAATGATATATTTTAATACACACAAATGATGATATTTATCAATATAAAATTGAAGAAGGATACATTTCGTTATTGTTTTTTTTTTATTCGGTCTCTTCTTTTATGTAAGTGAATATAAGATACACCAAATTCGATGATATGTCGTACCTGATGATGACAAAACCTTGTCGAAACGTTGTAAATTTGCTGTTATGTTAAACTTATATTAAAGTTTTCTTCATTACCCATTCAAGCCGTCTCCAGCCATTATAAGATACATCAACATTATAACACTGGCACTTACCTCTTTCAGTAACACCCCAACCAATAACAACGACCTCCTTATTGTTTAAGTTCACGTTCAACTTGTTCAACTCAGGAATACAGAGAGGCTGTACTTCGTCGTTGTATTCGACTGGTTTCGAGAGTAAAATCAAACCAATATCGTAATAGTGTGAAGGGTAATTATAGTCCTTGTGAACAATAACCTTATTTACTTGATAGTCGGTACCCGAATTGTCTATGTCATGAGCTCCAACTCTAACGAAAATGGAAGAATTCTGTCTGAAAAACAACAACAAAAGAAATATTTTACAAACTTCTTAAATTCTCGTAGTACACAACACTTATGTAACATTTTAAATATTACCAAAGTAACAAATATTAATCCTAAAGTACAATATACAGACGATGCATGGGAAAAGTTTACAGATACACTGCTTACTTTCAAGTAAAAAAGCACCACAATAACAGGAGATACGAAATGATACGAGTTAGGATGTTAAGTTGAATTTTTATCTTGACTGAATTGAAGAAAAAGAGAGACAGGAAACAGTACCAAACAAATTGTGGAATCGGTAGTTTTCGAAACAATTAATACAGGCAAGACGAATGCACAGTACAATGGTCAACAAATTACTCCGAATGGAGAGAGGTCCAAGTTAAATTCATCCAGAAGTAAAAGTCTGGCAGAACTGAGGCAGTGAGTCATTATATACAAGGGTAAACTCTTTCAAACTGCATTTGTTACCCATAATAACTGGTCAATTCAATAGATAGAACAGCAGAACATAGTGACCAAGTATTTCTAAATGTTTAAACTTTCCGTGTCTGTATCTTGTTGAAGGGTTAGGCCCGAATCGTGAACTTGGACATTAAATATATTAACTTTATTAAGGCTTACGTTGGTATTTTTTCTTTCTTAATTTACTCGCATATGACGTACTGTGAACTGTTTCACACATGCGAGATATATTTTAGAGGTTACTTTACAATTTTATGGGTAAATCCATCCTTGTTTATACTGGTAATTGTTTTGATATATAAGAACAGTATTTCGATTTATGTGTAGTAAATTAAACTTTGGGATGAAGATGTTTGGCACTTACCTGTTTCCAAACTGTGTCACAAGACAATGGGCGGCAGTGACAATGGAGACTTTATTAATAATAGTTCCACCACAAATGAAACGTTGAGGATTTACTTCGAAAATTCCGACCTAAAAAAGAAAAATATATGAGGACCACGCTGAAAATTACGAAAAATTAAAGGAAACGGCGAGGACCTACACGGAATAATCTGGCCTAAAAATAAATAGAAAAACGATGAGGATCCACAGTAAATATTCCATTCCAACCTCTGAGTACAGTTCGTAATGAAATATTAGTTACCCTGGTTTAATAAAAATAACACACATTGTTTTAAACGAAGACATGGTATTACTGATATTGGAAATACCTTGACAGGTTAATTTGTGAACCTGTCTTAACTTTGGTTCTGTTTTCTGTATTATAAATTATTCTTAGAGTTAGATCCTTATCTAAACCATTGTTTAAGATAGTTAATTTGTATCACTTGTTAGAAAAATTTTACAACCATTGCTTGGTTTACTGTTTATTTTATTGGTCAAAAATATATTCAGACCACTTCCTAAACCAGGTTTGATTTAGTCTTTTGTTTCTTTGTGGAAAATCACTTTTTCAGATCCATCTCTCAACCTTGTCCCGCGTTTTGGTCCTCAGTTCTAATTTTCAGCTGCTTCTTTTACAACTTTTTCACAATTCGTTGCCCGAAATCCATCGACCCGTTATCCTGTTTTTAACGTAAAAATA